TCTTTATGTTATATGCTAATAAAATGTTTAAAATTTTCAGAATATTTTTGAAATCAGGTTTTATAAGTCCTAGAATAGTTTTCCTTTTTTTTTTTTGGTCTCTTCTTGATACTCTTTCATTTTTTTCAATTGTGTATTCTATTTTTCAAAATTTTTATCCCTTTTCAAGACACTATTTCCTATTGTCTGAAAACTGATTTTGTAATAATAAGGCACGTTACTGCCATCTACTGGTAAATTACCACAATAAAGGTGTACATTACAATGTGTACCAGTGAGTGGCATCCACTTACATGTGATGTCCTCCAGTAAGACACAACTCGCCTAACCAAATGTGATAACCTTGCCATTTGGCACGGTCGTGATGAACCCCACAGACAGTAGCATGTTGATGCTCTCTAGTAGGTTTTAGTCTTCAATTGTTTTTTCTGTTTGATGTTGTTCTTAAAGACATGGTTCTAGTGTTCACTATCAGTCTGACCACTGCAAAGCTTAAGCCCATCAGACAACCATGAAAATAGATGTTCAAAAAATGCCGATCAAAGTCAGTCAGCAAGAGAAAAACAAATATCCTCCATTAACGCATATATGTGCGGTGGTTGTGGTTTGGTCGCTAAGTCGTGTCTGACCCTTGAGACTTCATGGACTGTAGCCCACCAGGCTCCTCTGTCCATGGAATTCTTCAGGCAAGAAGACTGGAGTGGGTTGCCATTTCCTTCTCCAGGATACCTTTCTGACCCAGTAATTGAACCCAAGTCTCCTGCACTGCAGGCAGATTCTTGACCAACTGAGCTACGAGGGAAGCCCTAACACATACATATGGAGTCTAGTAAAATGGTACTGATGAACTTATTTGCAGGGCAAAAACAGAGATGCAGACGTAAAGAACAGACTTGTGGTCACAAAGTGGGATGGAGAGAATGGGACAAATTGAGCGATTAGCACTGACATATATATACTACAATGTGTAAAATAGATACCTGGTGAATAACGAAGGGAGCTCAGCTCCTGGCTCTGTGATGACCTAGGTGGGTGGGATGGTGGGGTGGGAGGGAGGCTCAAAAGGAAAGGCATATATGTATACTTATAGCTGATTCATGTAGTTGTACCAGCAGAAGCTAACACAACATTGCAAAGCAACTATCCTCCAATTTAAAAAAAAGGCAAATTGTTCACATCAAAGAATAATTGATTTGCTTTCGCTTTATCAATTGGACTTCCTTGGTGGATCAAACAGTAAAGAATCTGTCTGCAGTGCAGGACACCCAGGTTTGATCCCTGGGTCAGGAAGATCCCCTGGAAAAGGAAATGGCAATCCATTTCAGTATTCTTGGCTGGGAGAATTCCAATGGACAGATGGGCCTGGCAGCCAACATACAGTCCATGGGTCACAAAGAATCGGACACGACTGAGTATCTAACACTTTCTCTTTATCTAAATCTGAATCCAGAACAGTCCCGGATGTCTCAGGACTGCTTTTCTTGCTCAAAGCATTCTCTGTGAAACAGCCTGATAACCTCTTCAGTGGCCTCAGATAGTCTGTTGCTTATTGAGGCTATCATAAGCGCTAGTCACTCACTCTTCTAAACATTTTGTATCTACTAATTCATTTTGAAGTGAAGTGATGCTTTTAAACTGTGGTGTTGGAGAAGACTCGAGAGTCCCTGGGACTGCAAGGAGATCCAACCAGTTCATCCTAAAGGAAATCAGTCCTGAATATTCACTGGAAGGACTGATGCTGAAGCTGAAACTTTAATACTTTGGCCACCTGATGTGAAGAACTGACTCATTCGAAAAGACCCTGATGCTGGGAAAGATTGAAGGCAAGAGGAGAAGGGGATGACAGAGGATGAGATGGTTGGATGGCACCACCAACCCTATGGACATGAGTTTGAGTAAGCTCCAGGGGTTGGTGATGGACAGGGAAGCCTGGTGTGCTGCAGTCCATGGGGTCGCAAAGAGTCGGACATGACTGAGCAAGTGAACTGGACTGAACTGAAAGTCGCTCAGTTGTGTCTGACTCTTTGTGAGCCCGTGGACTGTAGCCCACCAGGCTCCTCTGTCCGTGGGGTTCTCCAGGCAAGAATACTGGAGTGGGTAGCCATTCCGTTCTCCAGGGGATCTTCCCCACCCAGGCGCTGAACCTGGGTTTCCTGCATTGCAGGCAGATTCTTTACCGTCTGATCCTGTAAGTTACCCTTATTATGTACACCTTACAGATGAGGCAATTGTAGCACAAAAAAGTTAAGTTATATTGAAATAGTGACTGACTTTATTTTTCTGGGCTCCAGAATTACTGCAGATGGTGATTGCAGCCATGAAATTAAAAGACACTTACTCCTTGGAAGGAAAGTTATGACCAAACTAGACAGCATATTAAAAAGCAGAGAATTACTTTGTCAACAAAAGTCCATCTAGTCAAGGCTATGTTTTTTCCAGTGGTCATGTATGGATGTGAGAGTTGGACTATAAAGTGGGCTGAGCACAGAAGAATTGATGCTTTTGAACTGTGGTGTTGGAGAAGACTCTTGAGAGTCCCTTGGACTGCAAGGAGAACCAACCAATCTATCCTAAAGGAGATCAGTCCTGGGTGTTCATTGGAAGGACTGATGTTGAGGCTAAAACTTCAACACTTTGACCAACTGATGCGAAGAGCTGACTCATCTGAAAAGACCCTGATGCTGGGAAAGATTGAGGGCAGGAGGAGAAGGGGATGACAGAGGATGAAATGGTTGAATAGCATCACCGACTCAATAGACATGGGTTTGGGTGGACTCTGGGAGTTGGTGACGGACGGGGAGTCCTGGCATGCTGCGGTTCACGGGGTCGCAAAGAGTCGGACAAGACTGAGCGACTGAACTGAACTGAATAGGCTGTGATACTACAAAAATAGAGTTTATAGTCTTTTGGGAACAAAAACCATGTAAGGATTTAAAAACAAAGGGAAAAAATACTTCGGACCCTGTGGGACAAGTCATTTTTCTCCTTTTGGTCCAAGTTGTATCATCCATAAGAAAAGAACTCCAGATTTGCCTGAAGTCACACAGCTAATAGGGGCTTCCCTCGTAGCTCAGTCGGTGAAGAATCTGCCTGCAGTGTAGGAGACCCGGGTTCGATTCCTGGGTCAGAAAGATCCCCTGGAGAAAGAAATGGCAACCCACTCCAGTATTCTTGCTAGGAAATCACATGGACAGAGGAGCCTGAAAGGCTACAAAGAGCTGGACACGACTGAGCCACTAACAGTTTCAGCTTTCTTTTTCAGGATCCTTATATGAGGAATCATATAGTAGTTGATCTTTTGTGACTGCCTTATTTCACTTAGCATAATGTCTTCAATGTCTGCAATGTTATAGCATGTGCCAAAATTTCCTTCCTATTTAAGGCCAATGTTCCATTGTATGGATATGCTGCATTCTGTTTATCCACTCATCTGACAGATATACAGCCTGCTTCTTCCTTTTGACTATGGTGAATAATGCTGCTATGAACATGATTGTACAAGTATCTGTTTAAGTCCCTACTTCTACTTTCTTGGGATAAATATGCAGAAGTAGTATTTCTGGATCAGATGGTAATTCTATATTTAACTTTTTGAAGTTAAAGTGATAACTGTGGTGGTAAACAGGAATGTAGGTAAAAATGTATTAGGTGTATACTTAAGATGTTTGCATTTTCCTGTAAGTAAATCATACTTCATTTTCTAAAAGAAGAAAAAGCTTAAAATTGTTTTCCAGGCTCTTATAAACCCTTTTGGTATTAATTTCTTGGGCTCAAGTGTATGAGGTGCCCCCTTTTGGCTGCCTGTGGTTCTCTATTTTTCTCTGCCCTTTAGGGTCCACCACCATTCTCAGGATTCACACACAACAAATATTTACTGAGCATATGCTCTGTGCCAGGCCCTGTGCTATGTGCTGAGAAAACAGCGGTAAACAAGATGGATAAACTCTCCCTCCTAATGGGGTCCACAGCCTTGTGAAGACAGGTGATAAACAACCTAGTGAGTCCTATTGAGGGCAAGCAAGAGAACTTGCCTAAGGAATCTGCAGAGGTGTCCTTGGGTTAGTGATGTTTGAGCAGGGATCTGAAGGATGACAAATTATCTAATGAGGAGGGGGAGCATACCAGATGGACCAATCAGCATGTGCAAGGATCCTAAGAAGGAAGGAAGTATAGTATGTGAAGATCAATGTACTTACAGTCTAGAGAGAGTTAAAGAGTGCTAGGAGATAAGCCTGGTGATGTGGGAAGGGCAAGAATGAGACATCTATTTGGCCTTTATCATAAGAGCAATATGAACCATCAAATAGTTTTAAATAGAGGAGAGACATCATCAGATTTTTTACTTAGAAATATTGCTCTGACAACGGGGTGGAGAATAGGTTGGAGGGGAGCCAGGGAGAATGTTGACCCACCTTAGAAGGCTACTGCACCAGTCCAAGCACATAGCGTGTGCTCAATAAATATATTGGTGGAATGAAACAACTCTGATTTTTGTTAGATGAGACCAGTATGCCTGAGCTGTATAATCAGCTAACAATCCCCTGCTTATCTATCCAACATGATGCTTGTAATAGACCCTTAATTCCCATTTCATAGATGAGGAAGTTGAAGTTGAGGCAAAGGAAAATTACACAGCTATCAAGAGTGAAAGCCAGATCTGAATCCAGGCCTTTAGGACAAGCATCGAGCCCAGTGCTCCGGAGGCCTCCCTTCATTTGGGAAGAAGGGGAAAGGGCCACACTACCTTATACCCACTGAGTCTGCCTAGGGTCACAGTGATGGGACTTACAGGCAAACATCAGTAATAAAGGCTAAAGATGATCTTTATCATCATTAGCATTACTAGATACTATGTGTCAGGCACTGTGCCAAGGGCCATGCTTTCCCTCATTTCCTCTTTGCAAAGACTATTATTATATCCATATCTCAGGTGCATAAACTGAGGCTTGGAGAGTTGACTTGCCCAAGCACACTCAGCTTAGAGTGACTCCAAGATGGGGTCAGCAGCCACTGGCAATATTACAGCGCCAGGAGACAAACAATCTCATATCCCGGCTCCGAGCTCTGCACCCAACCGAGCTGGTGCGCGCTCGGCCCCGCGCTCTCGGAGACGTTTGGTCACGTGGCCAAGGCCCCGCCCCCGCCCTACCCCGCCCTCTCCCGCGCTCCCACCCTCTCTCCCTCCCTCCCCCTCCCTCCCCGGCCCGGTCCGGCCCATCCCCCTCCCCGCCGGCTCCCTGAGGCCCAGCCGGGTCGGGCTGCGGGCGGCCGGGCGCCGACGGCCGGATAGACGGGCGCACGCGAGGACGGACCGACAGACACACGGAGGGCCGCGGGCACGCACGGCCCGGGCCGGTGCTCCGAGGCCCGCCCGGGAGGGCTGGGGCCGCGCTCAGGTGAGCTGACGGCGACGCGGGCCCGTAAGGGGTGGGCCCGCCGGGCGTCTGCGGTGCCGGCCCGGCTAGCGCCGCGGGAAGGAGGCGCCGCCTGGGCCCGGCGCGGGAAAATGGCGCCGGCGGACCGTGGAGCACGGCCCCTGTGCGGTCCCGGCCCGTAGCCGCCCCGCCCGCCCGCCGCGCTCGTGTCCCCGTCGCCATGTTGGGGAGCGGGCCCGGGGCCTGCGGGCGCGGGCGCTGGGGACTGCTGGGGGCCTGGCAGGGTTGGGGAGGGTGTGGGACTCGGTGTCCGGGAGCTGAGGGAGTGCTGAGCCGGCCGGGGTCTGCACGGGGTGGCGCTCCAGGCCCAAGGAACTGGCGGGAGTCGGACGTGGGGTCGTGGCCGGGGTCGCCGAGAAGGGTCGCTGGGTCCAAATGGAATCAGGATCAGGATCCGTGGGGCTTGGGGAGCAGGAACTGGAGCTGGTTTAGGCCGTGGTCCATGTTCAGGACCCCAGGCCGGCAGGGCGCGGCGGGGCGTGGGATTTGAGCCCAGGCTGTCAGGGCTGGGACAGTTCTTTGCGGGGGGCGGGGGGTGGTGGTGAAAGGGTTGATTGAAAATGAGGGCCCTTTCGGTACAGAGGCGAATATCAGTTTGGTCTAGTCATTAGAGTTGCGGGGCTAATCCGAGTAACTCCCAAGCGACTGAGGACATATGTGCCCCCAGGATCCTGCACTCCGTATTGTCAAGAGCAACAGAAAAAGTAAGGCTTTGATGAAGAAGAGAGAGAAGGGGGATTGAGGTTTGGGTGCAGGAGCTGGCCAGCAAAAGAATGCAGAGTGGAACTGGTTGGAAAGAAGAGAGAGCCTCCATCAACTTAGGGAGTTTGTGTGTGTGTCTTTAAAAGGAGGGACCCGGCTGTTTGTGGGCGGTGACCCAAGGTGTCTTCCCAGGAAGGGGACAGCCCACTGTTTTTTAAGAGCAGTGTCACCTGGGGAGGTCATCAGAAAGGCGTTTTTGAACCCGTGAGAATGGTAAAGGATTGAATGTGTAAAAACTGCAAAGGCCCTTAGATCATGTAATGATTTCAGATTATGTAGTGATTTTAGCTGAGATACAGAAATGTAAAGTTGACTTCTAAAGATCTAACCAGTAAATGGGAGAAGTGGTACTAGAACTCAGGCCTGTTGCCTCCTTATTCAACACAGCTCCTTTAGAGGAATTGGTCAGGTGGGCAAAAAGTATTAAAAAGTCAAGCATGGCAGCATATATCAAAGAACTACTAAGTAAATTCTTTTTGTATTGACTTTGTCAGTACAAAAATTGAGGGGGATAGGAGAAAAGTGTATATAGCTAGCTGTTTGATAATTTCTAGTGTACTTCTGTTTGTGCAAAGAAGTTATCTTCAGGGTCTTTTTGAGTTCTGTCTTTATATAGAGTCTTAAGAGATGCTCCTTCTCTTCTAGGTGTTTACTATACAGCAAAGGGACACAAAAAGCCTAAAAGGTAACAGTGAACAATGAATCTCTATCATGACTGTAATTGAAGTTCAATCATGATAGAAGAGTTCAAAGTCCCCATGGGCTATGAGAGAATTCTCAGTTACGTTATAGTTGTCCCAGGGCCCCTATATAGTCAAAAAAGACTTTCAACAAAAAGGTTATGAAGATGTTCATAGCAATGATATTTTTAATATACGTTCAGTATCCTTATTCAGCAACATGATTCGTTTGTTTTTGGTCTTTCTAATGCAGGAAAGCCTAATCTTGTCTGTACCATGGGCTCCTTTGTTGCTCAGTCATTAAGTCGTGTCCAACTCTTTGTCACCCAATGGACTGCAGCATTCAAGGCTTCCCTGTCCTTCACTATCTCCCAGAGTTTGCTCAGATTCATGTAGTGTCAATGATGCCATCCAACCATCTCATCCACTGTCACCCTCTTCTCCTGCCCTCACTCTTTCCCAGCATCAGGGGCTTTTCCAGTGAGTTGGCTCTTCGCATCAGGTGGCCAAAGAATTGGAGCTTCAGCATCAGTCCTTCCAATGAATATTCGGGGTTGATTTCCTTTAGGATTGACTGATTTAATCTCCTTGCACTCAAAGAGACTCTCAAGAGTCTTCTCCAATACCATAGTTGGAAAGCTTCAGTTCTTCGATGCTCAGCCTTCCTTTTGGTCCAACTCTCTCTGTACATGACTACTGGAAAAACTATAGCTTTGACTAGATGGACCTTGGTCGGCAGTCTAGCAAACCTTTTGGATCCCTTTCAGAATAATATTTTTAATTGCATAATACAAAATACCTGGGGTTATAGAGAAACCCACTGTATTGAAGTGCATTTACTACAATATACAAATTGTGATGTAGTAATATAGATATACTTCTTTATCAGCAAATTAAGAAATTAGATCTAGTGGTGGGTCTGATAATTACATCAAATGAACATAAATAATTCTTTAAGATATCTGCAATAACTATAATATGATATAAAGATATCTGTGATTACAGTAGCAGAATCACAGATCTGCAATACAAGAATGGCTTACTGCCTACATTCATATTTGAATAAAATGGTAACTTTCAGTTAGAAGTTAGTGAAAATAAAGTAATATTTTTCCTATCCAAGTTCATAGCCCTTCCACTCCTTCCCCGGGAATTCTGTCTGTGAGCTCCCATCTGTGAACCCAGGTTAAGGAACCACAAAGGATGTCTTCCATTCAACAGACATTTACTGTTCCCTGAGACATCTATTTATATCAGCCATTATGCTAGGCTGTGAGGAGTGACAGGTCTTTAAGGCAGGATAGGGTCTTTTCACTTTGGATATTCAGTCCCATGAGAGAAGTGAACATATAAACAATGACAGTTAAGGATGTTAAATGCCAAAGGAGAGCTGTCAGGTTGTTAGGACACATGTAGGCATGTCTCTGCTCTAGGATCAGGGAAGGCTTTGGAAATAAGTGAGACTTGAGGTGTGTCCTGAAAGGTAAAGGAGTTTGCCAGATGCAGAAGAGAGAAGAGCTTTCAGGTAAGGACATACATTTTCAGGGAATGTAATTTAACGTGTCTGCAGCATACTGTGTGTGTGTGTGAAAGAGTGGTTGGAGATGAGACTGGGAAGGTTGTTTGGAACCTGGGTTGAAGGACCTTGCTAAGGAATTTGGACTGAATACTTGGCTTTTAGACAGGCATTCAAGGCTTTCAAGGAATGGAGTTATGATGAGGTTTAATTTTTAGAAGATAAATTAATGTGTTTTGGAGGGAGGGTGGATTGGAGAGCAGAAAAGAAGTAATGAGGGAATGAGGGCCTGAACCAAGGCAGAAGCTGGGCACATTGGATAGAGTTAGAATTTTCAAGTGTTGATATAATTACATTGTGAGTGATGAGCGAGAAGGGGAATTTTTTAGATTTCTAGTTTGGGGTGGCAGTCAATGAGGTTTAAAAAAGGAGTGAAAGGAAAATGAATGAGAATTGCTGCAGATAGGGAAAAGATTTTTTTTTTTGTAGAATAATAGACTTTTGGAAGCCAGTACAGAGCTGTCAAGTGTGATGTCATTTATTGCTTAAGAAAATCATGTGTCAACAGACTGGGAAAGTATTCCTAGAGTAGGAAAATCATAACTATCAATGTCAGGTCTTGGCAGACTGTGACCCATGCATCAAATCTGTTCCACCACCTGTTTATGTAAATAAAGTTTTATTGCAACACTGGCACACTCATTTACATATTGCTCTTGTCTGCTTTCATACTACCAATGGCAGGTTAAATAGTTGTGACAGAGAATATATAGCTCACAAAATTGAAAATATTTACTTTCTGGCCCTTTACCAAAGATATTTGCCAGTTCCTGATCTGTGTGTCTGAATGTTGGACATTAAATTTCTGATTTACCATCCTGTTCCTATGTGATGAAGAATAACCATCTTGGCACTGTCTTTCTGGCTGGATTCCCCATGCTTTGTGTATCTGCAGCATGACATAGATCCCTGAATATTTTATATTGGTCAGTGGTGCCATGGTTTACTGTTTTGGGGTCCACTATGTGACAACTGGTTCTTGCCAGGTTTTCACAGTTTAGACCTTCCCAGGGCCTGTTTTGTCATCTTTTTCTATTGGGTCGTCTTTTTCAAAAGATTTCCTCATATTTTTTGATTATTAATCCTTTTGTTAACTATATGTATTACAGATATCATTTCCTGGTTTGTTGCTAATGTGTTTATATCTCTCTAAGTTGTTAAAAAGTTTTGAATTTTAATCAAGTTTATCTTTTTCTCTCCCAAGATTTTGAAGCTGTTCTTTATATTATCTTTTTGCCTTTTATGTTTAGATCTCTTATCTGGATTTGACATGTGTGTGTGGTGTGAGGTAGAGTCATTTCATTTTTTCTGATGTACAATTAATTATCCCAGTATCATTTATTGAATGGTACTCTGTCTTCATATTGCGAGCTCTTTTTGGTAAAATCTATTGAAGGCCCTGTTTCCAGCTCCATTGTTTGTGAATTGTGTACCTTGGACACGTTGCATAACCTCTTTGTGCCTTGGTTTTCTCATCTTCAAAATAAAGAAAATAGAGTTGTTGTGAGGATTAAGCAAGCTAATTCTTATAACATGTAGAACAGAGTGGCATCTAGAAAATGCTCAATAATGTTAGCTATTATTTATTATTTAGCATTATTGTTCATTTATGATTCCTAGACAAGAGTGGAAGCTCAATATGCTCAACTCAGTTGTAGACTTTATTCAGTTTTCAGATTGAAAGAGAATGGCTGAGAGCTAAGTGTTGCAGGAGGTGCTTCCAGGTGGCTGCTTAATTTTAGCTGCTGCCTTAGACTATCTGCTGGAGTGGAACTCCTCCCTGTAGTTCTTTGCAGTTTTCACTACTCTCTTGTTTTGTTCATTTACTTTATCCCCCTCCAGGCATTTGATTTTCTAGTTCTGACTTTACCAAAGTGTTATATATTACCTTGCCTGAACTAATAAGGGACATATCCAGATATTGTCAGGATAGCCAGAAATTGACAGATGAATTGGGGGGCAGGTAAAAACTAAATTCTGTTTCTAAGATTGAGTCATTCTTAGTCATAATGAATAAATTGATCATTGAAGTTAAAAGATGAGATGAAATTCAAATCATTGAATATTTAGGCGTCTACTATGTGCTGGATGCTATATTAGAAATTACCACATTGGTAATAGAAAAGAAAACTAGCTGACCAGCT